AATTCTGTGGAAGGGAAAAGAGGGAAAAAAGACAGGGAAAAAAAAGTATAACAAATTCTACCTTCATTGTTAGGTTGGGCCACTGAGACCGCATATCTTGGAGCAGGAGGGCCCTGCTATTGAGAGAGTCTGTAATCCACAACTAATGAACCCTGTCTTCCTCAAGTCATCAAGAAGGAGGCTAAATGTCATCTCTTAGATCCTTCACTGGGTGGCTCTTGACTGAGGGTTCTCAAACTGGGGGTCGTGACCCTTGGGGTTGCAAAGTTATTACATGGGGGGTTGCGAGCTGTCAGCCTCCACCCCCAAACCCCACTTCCCCGCCAGCATTTATAATAGAGTTAAATATAAAAAATGTGTTTTTAATTTATAAGGGGGGTCGCACTCAGAGGCTTGCTGTGTGAAAGGGGCCACCAATACGAAAGTTTGAGAACCACTGCTTTTGACTCTGATGTTTTGATCTCCTCACAATACATTTGTGAAGTCCCTACTCCTGCCTATGGGAGCCCCGAGCCCATTGGGAGAGCAGAATAGTGGAGGCAAGGTCCTCTGGATGGATAAGAGCTTTGCGCTGAGCAGGGCCGGCTCCAGGCACCAGCCCACCAAGCATGTGCTTGGGGTGGCGCCTAGAGGTGGGCGGCATGGCGGGGCCCCGGCCAGGCTCGCCGCTCTCCCCACAGCGCTCCGGCTGGTCGGGTAAAGCGGAGAGCCGCGGCTGGGCTCGCCGCCCTCCCCCCGGTGCTCTGGCCGCCGGGGAGAGCGGAGAGCCCCGGCCGGGCTCGCCGCCCTGCTCCTGGCGCTCTGGCGGCCTCCCCTGCCGCGCTGGGGCGATGGTGGGGGGCGGCGGGTGGCTTTTTTGCCTAGGGCGGCAAAAAAGCCAGAGCCGGCCCTGGCCCTGAGTAAGCTTTACTCTACATGAACTAATCCCCTTCTGAGGGAGGAGGAGGACATGAGGCTAAGCAGTTGGAGCTTGGACTAGGGGGGGATAGGAGCTGAGTGAGGGGTTCTCCTGGAATACCACCTACACCAGGAAAGAACATCCCAGTTACAAATTGTCTATATTTAAATACAATGCTCCCTGCTGCTTTACCCTGGAACTGCATCCCTCTGACTTGTTTAAGCAAGGTCTGATGGAACTGAAGTGCAGCTCTAGCCAGCAGCGTCTCTCACACAACAAAGGAATAAAGATTCTGCTGCTTGATTCAGCTTTATTAACCTTCTGACAGGACAGTCCTCCAGAGCTGGGTGACATCTGTTTGGTAGGGAAACCGATCCCTGAAAGTGCTGACTCAAAGAAGCAGATTGAGAGATTCTGTAGTACGTAGAGAACAACTTTTACTTTGCCAGCTCTCCATACTGACAGGAGGAAGCTTCCCTGGACACACGGGGTGGCATCTTATGTGTCCCATGCCCACCCCCTCCACCAGTGTATCATTCACTTAGATACATTGTGCCTCTTTGTGCCGCATCATGCCACATTCTGTGTGAATGTGACAGAATCAGAGATGCTTGGGTGTCATCTGATGTGATATCAAATAACACCTAAAGTTTCCGCTCAGCTCTAGACAAACTGATTCCTTAGTGACATATTATACATACCTGCCATGGTGGAGTTTACAGAGGAAAATGAAAGCCAGAATGAAGAGGATGCCCAGGAGACCAGCAGAGATGGCGAAATACTGAAGAAACATGTTTCCATTGTCTAATAAGAGAGAATCATGATTTTCTAAATAGGGAGAATCACCATTTCAGTTATTTCCTCACTGATCAATTCCTTTATTGTGTCCATCTGAGGATCACAAGGTGCTTTATACATTAATTAAACCTCACAGCCTGCCTGTAAAATAAATAGTATCCCCACTTGACAGAAGGGGAAACTGAGGCAAAAAGGTTAAATAGCTTGTCCAAGGTCATGCCTCGAGATTTCAATCTGAAAACGAAACCCATATCTCCCAATGGCCAATCATGCACTATAACTACTAGATCATATTGCTCTGAAGGACTCTGCATATCTCACCATTCAAGCTAACTCCTATATGACTTCAGAGCAAAAGAGCAAGGAAAATTAAATAAAACCATCCAGATAACAGCCATTTACTGTTCAGATTATGAGACTGTTACCCATTTTGAGGTGCCCAGACACTAGCATGTGCTCTCCTCCCCTCCTCCTTTCACAGTCCTGGTGGTAGGATTCGTATTTGCATCCCAACAAATTTTGTTTATGCTTCTCTTTCAGTTGAACGTCTTGTCCATACAAGCAAGTGACAATTGTGACTCCAGTCCCATCAATGCCTCCCCACTCCCAATAAAGTACCACAACCCTGACCTAGAGGGAGTAGGATACTTGAATCTTTATGGCCCAAGTCATGATATCACACATGTCACTGACTCTTGGTCACTACCAAGCTGGGCCAAATGTGACCTGGTGACGTCACCGTGAAAGGCTCCATAGCCATTGAACAGTCCCCTAACTGACCCAGTCCCCCAGGTTAGACATTTGTATGGAAAGGAGATAAGAAAAAGGGCCCACTTCAGTCTTAAATTGTAGAGAGTATTTCTGCAGCCTTTATAGATTTCCTTCTCTAGACATTTTATGAAGCAAACTGGAATGGTCGGCTGAATTTGCATGGTCCCTGCCACACCCTCACCAGTCTCACTAATATTTGTTGGAGCTGGTGAACAGAGGAGCACGTAGTTTATCAGTTATGAATGAAGACTAAATAGAGAAAAGAGATGTGTTGTTACCTGATGGGCATTCCTTGGATTGGCTCGTGTTCCAAGCCGGATGAGAGACCAGGCAGGTGATACTAGTTTCTTTGGAGCTGTAT